AAATATTCATTAAAGGGTCCATGACAAGGCAAAAGGACAGAAGCAAGCATATATTAACTTTTTTGCATTTATTAGAGAACGCAATTCGATGTAGTTAAAGATTGGTGTTCTGTAAGTAAGATTATATCAAAATATTCTATTCTTGAAGCCTTCCTACAATGAAGTATTTGAGATACCTTAATTTCAAGTTCCATTAAAGCCTACTGAATGGTAATTTACTTTCATTAGCAGTCATATTATGGCCAAAATGTGGAGGGCGATAGACTTGCTTCCATGTGGTGCACCCTGGGCAAAGTATAATCATACGACAAAAAAGTCAATAAACCGGCAGTTGACTATTGACTTCAAACTACCATCACCCCACTGTATGTCATGTTCGACTACTTTCACATTACTCACCTCACCTTTTATCTACCTTTGTATCTGTTTGTCTCTTTTCCATCTTTGAAACACTCTTCTGTCCGCACCCCTCTCGACTTTTATTCTCTTTGATGTTCCTTTCGCTCTATGAAGCCTGGAATCAACTAAAGAGCTAATAATAACTACCGAAACACCTGAGATTTGATTTAAATAAATAAATTATATCCAGCGTTTTACTACAAAATGCCTTCTTCTTGTAATCACAGGGCGCAAAACTGTAGAGATGCATTTAATATTAGCATTAATTTATCAGAAATTTTAAGAATCAGCAGGATGCGTCATTTGCGAACGATAGATTTGACACTATCATCATGGTGATGATAATCAGGATGATGATGAGACCAATAGTCGCAATACAAATTAAGTGGATGTAATTGTTCAATTCAGTATGACTCACTTCTCCTTGAACTATTTATTTGTAAGATTTCTTTGGTCTTTATTATCAAGGTTAAAGGGACATTTGAAACTGTCCCCCCCCCATCCCTTAAATCTTCATCCTAAACCAAAATTAGACGCATTTGACACAATTCAACTAAATATCCTATTCTAAAGAGGAACTTTTGGCCTAAAATATTCGATTCCATTCCTCGAGCTAAACAACTCGTTCTTAAGAAAAAAATCGTATAGTTATTTTACTTGGATAGCACTAAGCCGGATGACACCTGGACTTGTTGAACTGAGGGAACAAGAGAAGATATCATCTTGTTGTGGTGGTGCTCCAGATATTGGTGGAGCCTCAAAACGTGGTTCTCCATCGGTGTCTTCAATTGTAGATACCTCTTCTACTAGCAAACGCATCGCTTTATCTGCAAGAGGTCCGTAGATAATAACCGGCCTAGGATATGGATAACTGTCCAACTGCACAACTCGGAGGTAGAGCTTCGATTCGTCGGTGGAACACTAAAGATGTAGAAAGGTAAGGGTTTCATTCGGTAACGCAAACTTTTATGAATATCTTGCACCGTTGTAAATCAAAATGATTAGTTCTGGCTGAAAATGAATTCTTAATACTTGTAAATCTTTGCTTTTTTACTCCATTCAAGTTTAATGCAAAAATTCTATTTCCTTTTATCACGTCTGGTTATCAATCTGGACCTCGTTTCTCATTAAAGCAGCTTGTTATATAAACGGATGAATTCGCTTTTTTTCTTTTCCGCTGATCATAAATAAAAATCTATTTGATTCAAGATTTAAAATTGATGGTTAGTATAACTTTACTGTGTAATTCCAGTCAACAACTGGAGGTCTGGGTTTCATCTGAACGGAAACTCCCAGATGGTATAAAGAACAGTGAATACCTTCTTTCAACATTTGGGCAATCTTGCTGATGATGTGATTTATGTCCACTTAAAGCTCCATATTAATAAGACAATATTTGTTGGAAAATTACAGACACGCTCCAACAATCTGTAGAGTTGCTGAAATTATGGTTATTTCAATTTAGTGGATTTCAACTTGTTGGGATGACAGTTGTCCATTATGAGTGTAAATATTCCTTTGTATTTACGTCTGATTTAGGTTTCCAATTGATATTCGTATCAAATATACTAGTTGTGCCAAGAGGCATATCAAACCTGATTAGATGCAAACAAATGTGCCTCCAGAGAGCATTCCATATAGTGTTTCGAGATGAGCAGTGCACATCCCGCATGCAACCTCAAATTGGCCTGTCAGTCAGAACACCATGCAGGTACGCACTACTCCAGACAATTTGACTTCTTGCCCAGACATAACTATTCCCTTCCTGAGTTTTACCCTGAGTTTTCTAAGTCTTTTCAACATTGATAAAGTATTGTGAAACCAAATTACACCACTCTTTCCTTAACTTCTCTTGGCTCTAACTCAACTACCACCACTGCAATGACGATCAAATATTGCTCAAGTTTCGACATAGGCTTCACTTTATGAGTTGAGAGTTAATATTGAGAATTGTATCAACATTTTAATTATTCGCCTTCGTTATTTCTTTATAGGGTTAGTATTTATCATTTTCCTTACTGTTGATGATATTTGAGATTTCAGAAGTTGGGCAGCCTTTTCATAACTTGGAATACTTCCTAGATCCGAAACACCAGGAGAAACTTTGCGAGCCTATGATGAGAAAATAGGTTGCTTGAAGTACGTCAAATTCTCTAAGGGTTATTTCTTTCAAAGCCTCATATCTTACCAGCCAGGAAGTGAAAGAACCTCCCAAAAGACTATCCGTAACGTGAAAAATATCACCGGAAGAAATGGGAAGTGCTGAAATGGGTATTGATGAGTCGATTGATCGATGGCTATTCGCCTCCATTATGCACGGTTTGTAATTGAATGAAGCTCGAACGTAGAAATCATCACCTGGACCCAGGTTTCCATTAATAAAAGCCTCATATTTTGTATGAGATGACCTCAACTCGAGTTCTACTAGACACTGGGATTTAAGAATCTTCGCAGCTGCTTCCGCTTTGGTCAGAGATTTGACGGGTTCATTGTTTATCTATTGTTTAAATTTAATCTTTTCATGTGTTTTGTAGAGAAAATTCAAGGGCAAAAGTGAATTTTATAAATAGGCTTATAAAAATTCTCTCCATATAAACGAAATCCAAGCCTAATTCATGCCGAAGATTAAGCTCTACCTGGTGTCATTACTGTCATTGTGTGATGGCAAGAGCAGATTTCTCCGTTTCTATTTATTTATTTATTTCAAATGAAAGGCGTTTTGATACTTATCATTAGCCCTTCAGTTGACCTCGGACTTCACAGAGGGGAGGAATATTAAAGTGAGGCAAATTCGAGAGGGGGAACAGAAAAGTGATTCAGAGATGTAAAAGAGATAGACAGATACAAAGGCTCAGAAAGGGTAAGATAGTTACTGTGGTAGGGGTCGAATATGACTTGCAATAGGCCATGAGAGTTTGAAGTCAGAAGTCAACTGCCGGTTAATAGACCTTTTTTGCCGTATGAGTACACGTTGCCCAGGGTACACCACATGGAGGTAAGTCTATCGCACACCCCTTTCTCCGTTTCTAACTTCATTCTGATAGTGGATAGTTAGTAAATATTTTACAATCTATTGACATAATGGGCTAGCTGTCATGATTAGTGTTTCGCATTTAAATCGAACTGTTTAAATTGATTTGATCAACTATTAAGTTAAGCTATCTTCAACTAATCCGCTAAACTGAGGTCATAAAATCCTTTAGAAAGAAGGATCATTATGAAAAGATGAATATCATTCTAATACCTCTTAAATTTGAAAATTTCATTCTCTTAGCCCTTTCTCAATCAACTCAGTATAATGTTTTAATTATTTGAGGTGTGATCTGATGGCCATTGACTCCATATTCTCCAACTTAACAGACTTTACGCCTCGAAGGTACCACCACCACACCAGTGGTTAGCGTGTAAACAGATTTCCTATTTCTCCATTGGTCATTACTTAAGCAACTAAGAAATCCTTACTCCTATTTTGCCTCCACTATACCTTTGATATTTCTCCAAAAAACCCTATTGTATTATTTGAATTTGTTAATAGGAAAAGTACTTCATATTAATATTTTATTAAATTTTTCGGATGGCCTAAACGACTACTTGAGTGGAACTTACCGAGATTATTTCTTCACCTGGTTTTAAACCAACATCAGCTCCTGGTGATTGTGAATTGACCTCAGATACAAAAATTCCCACAGCATTGCCACCAGTAATGCGAATCCCCGTTCCAATTACTGGATGTTTCTGAATGCTGACTACTCGCGTTTCAATATTTCCATTCCATTCATCTCGATAAACACTGGGACTGTCGTCCTCTTCAATGTTGAGAAAATGTGACGAAGTACGTTGTCCAACAAACTCACCATCTGGTTGGAATACTCGATTTTCTGCCTTGTGGCAATTGCAGATATGGGTGTTGGGAATATTAGTGCCAGCATATTGTCTCTGAATTGGACAGGCGGGTCTGAAGAGCACTGGAGAATACTCACTTGGTGAAGTAATTACGCGAAGGGGTTCTAGATGAAAAGCATATTGAAGTGAAAACCTTCAATAACTAGTAGAAACTGCATCGAATTCAACACGTAGCAGCCGGTATAACTTAAGTCAAAAGGAAATAATGTGTCCCAGTCCAATTAAAATCAGAAAAGAAATAAACAAAAAAAATTTTGCGATTAAGAGTAGGAGACGGTTCACATCTTAAGGACCTAAATGCTTGATAGTGAAGATTCCAAGCAAACAAATAGGCTTTTGCCAGCATAAACAGTAGCGTTTATTCAAGAAATTCAGTTAGATACACGTTAACATTTAGCACTTGACTAACGCGATGAAATGTCCGTTATTTGATCTGACTTATGACAGAGGACAAAACAATTGAATGTATTCTTAAAAATTGCTCCCAAAAAGACTGTAGATAAATAACTACCTCCTCTCTGTTCCAACAACATGATTGGTTTGACGAAATTCATCGATGTGGTCTGACCCTAATTTCATCAGTTGTCTTGAAGAAAAGCATTTTCCATTGAAATCATCTCCGTTCTTTTGGCTCCACCTGAAGTTTATCAAGACCATTTTTCTCTGTGGCCAATTCTCAAAGTTAATACGGTTATTTGGTTCTATGGAATGGATTTTTCAAATAAAAGTAAATAAGTAGACGGGCAATTTTAGTTTGCTTGGTTCCCTGATCTTACTCCCTTTGAGAAACAACCATGTGAGTATAGCCGAATTTCCTGGAGTCAAGTGCTTCTAATTAATCGCCTCAAATGGGAAAATATAATTTGGCGTGATCAAGAGAATAAGCATTCTCTCGGGGATTTTCGGATTTCTTGAGCCTAGTAACCAACACTTTTCCAAAGGAATGAGAATCATCTAATGGAGATGCCTTAATTTTAATTTTTAAGGGTGAAGCACGTTAATAATCAAATAATACCTGCCTTGAAGTTTGCAGCACTGATGCTCACAATAGGGCATGTTCTCATAAATGGGGACTTGAATAGTGTCCGGTTGTAAAGTGACATTTCTTTCATCTCCTTCGGGATCAACTCGCATTAGAGTTACATCAGACTGTTCTCTTCGCATCAGGTACGCAGCGTCGATAAGACTCAAATGTGCAGCGTCAATACCATTCAAGTTAACTACTCTATCACCGGCTTTTACACCAGCATTGTCCGCTTTTCCTCCAGGCGTCACCGAGGTAATCACCAATTGACTTGAGAGTTCAACCCCTAGACCTACAAAGTATATCAAAAGTGTCTGTTGAGTAACAAGCACTTTCACAAAAAAGGACATTTGATTTAATCAATTGTCACATTAAATTGTGCGATAGTCACTTCAGTTCACCTTTTCTGAATCTACGTGAGGACTACTACGTCCTTATACATTTTACGGCTAAAATTTCAATTTTATCGAGATTTTACTTGGAATAAAATAAAATTAAATGAGTTTGGAATATCTCAAGCATGAATTTACTTGGAAACATTGGGGTCAGGTCAAGAACCCTGGACTATCTAATGCATTTCCAAATTCATGCCATCTGGTTTTCTGATTTATTCCCTAATTCTACCACTTCTACCCCTCACAAGCTTGTTGATTCGCATTCCTGTGAGTGATTACAATTCATTGTATGGAGAGTTATTTGTCGAAAGTAGGAATCGAGGAGCGAAAGAAATCTGAGATATTGGAGTCGCTAAAATAGAAGTAAGTAATATGCGCTTGCAGTGTTTATTCTACGCCCCAGTTACTCTTTTAACTACGTACTGTGCTACTGGGAATTTTATAATTTATTAAATTAATCCTATTCATAAAGTTTCACTAATTAATTACTATATAATTATGCATGGGCAATAGGGTATTTGTGTTCTATAAGCCCATTGGCTGATAACTACTAGTAAAAGATAGGCAGCGGTAGTCTTATTGAAATTAGCATTGATTTTATTGACAAGTGATATATTTACTAGGCAACAACGCTAATGGTCAAAAGAGATTGAAGGCCTTAATTTGAATGAGAAAATCAATTTTATACAACATGGAAATTTGAACTATTAAGTGTCAATTCTGTGCTAAGTTAAAAACTAAGCTTGCAAAAACGGCATTAATTTGTAAATTAATCAGTGAATTATTCTGTCTGAATTTTATACCAATATTTGTATTTCCTGAGCATCTTCAGAACTTCATTATATTTTGGCAGTAACTTTTGAATATAAGTGACATGGAACCCAAATTTGCTTATATTGATGAGGCAATGTAATTTTTTGAACTTTTTCTTAAGAGATGAAAAAAAGGTAGGTATTTATTGAACTCCACCACTAATATTCGACTTGTATCATAGCAAGTTCGGCAGCAATTGACTTGGACCATTTCGACTCAACTCCTGCCAAGCGCAACTATTCATAAAACCCAACCGCTAATTCTATGATATATCAGAACCTGGGGGTGAGAAATTTGATGCACCATTCAAGGTTCAAATAAATTGCAATTTTATTTGCCTTTACTTCATGATTAACTGTTTTTTTAATTATTTCCCTTTTTCCGCGCACTACAGACTCGGCAACAGATATGGCTTGTTCGATTTGTTTAAAGCTAATTACTATCCCTTATCGGCTGGTATAAACTACGTATATTTTAGCGGTGGCTAAATGGATTATTTGCGTTCCCCGATATTTACTAGCGACTTATAACAGAACTTTAAAGCTGATTAAATTTACTACAACAAATAATTAGATCAGATTCACAACAAAAATCCAATTCAAGATTTAGAGGTAATTGGATCTGAGAATCCAATTAATGCAATTGATGCAAGCGCAATGCTATGTAACAAAAAACTTTTGCTGTAATTCCAGTCCTTCTACTACCTGGTTTCCCTACTGAGTCTAATTAAAGTGCTGATTAAATTAAGGGATTGTACAATTTCTAAAATTTCATATTTTAAATCCATTCAATGCAATATAGACTTTTTTACTTTTATATCATCTTGGGCATGATAAATAAATGTGAGATTCCCTCCAACTACACTCATTTTCACGAAATTATTTTAATTCATTATTACTATTATTTATAAAAATGACGAGGGGTGCACGACTGACTTGCCTCCATGTGATGCACCCTGGGCAACGTATACTCATACGGCAAAAATGTCTATCAATCGGTAGTTGACTTCTGACTTCAAACAATCATCATCCGACCGTATGCTATATACATCTACTTCCATAATACTCATCTCACCTTTTTTCTACCTTTGTGTCTATCTCTTTTATATCTTTGAAACGTTCTTCTATTCCCACACCCTTCTCGACTTTTTTCACTTTGATGTTCATTCCCCTCTATGAAGCCTGAAGTCAACTAAAGGGTTAATGATAACTATCAAAACGCCTGCCATTTGATATAAATAAATATT